AAAAAAAAAAAAAAAAAAAACTGATCTGATTCCTGTGAAGCTGTATTTGGCTGTGTCCTGGTGGTCTGGTGAGGGCCACCAGCCTAAGCTTGGTGCTGGCCAGAGTGCCAGGGATTGTGGGAAGGCATGTTGGGCCAGACCCTTGGGAATTTCTGCCCCGCTTTTTTGGTTTGGCCTCCTGGAATTGCTTCTTTTGCCTTCAGTAAGTGAACTTAGGCCAAGCTATCAGAAAAGATGGAGGAAATGTTGTAGGACAGAGCTGGGAGAGCCTGCCCAGGGGTTGTACGGAGGCTCCAAACCTTTGGGAACTAAAAAGAAAATAGAATGCATTCACAAATATGGCAGTACAGAACAGTACCTCCAGGCTGCTGGGAGTAAGGTCAAATCAGTTTAACCCTGGTGATGCTAGCAGAATAGGAGGTGCCTTCACTGCTGAGCTCTTCACCTTGTGGCCTAGTCCCCCTAACATCTTTCCCGGGAGCAGGGATCCTTGTACAGGTTGTTTTTAGGCTCCTCTGGAAGCCACAAATCCAAGTCTACGCACCTTCCTGGTACTTTCGGCTGGGAAGCCTTTCTGGCAGAGGTGCGGCATGGGATGTGGTCCAGCGTCCACAGCAGCCCGAGGCATCACCTTGCCACGGCTCTGCAGTGCCACGGGCTCGGGTCCTGTCCGGCTTGCTCGCTCACCTGCCTTGTTCTGTTTGTTTTGGCTGCTCTGCCTTGCCCTGCCCTGCCTTGGCTGGCTAGCTGCCCCGCTCCGCACTGGGAATGGCAGCTTGGTGCCTGAAGGACGGAGCTCCCGGGACAGAACAGCCCCCTCTGCAGGCATGCAGCCCCAGCCTTCTCTCTGCTCCTCAGCCAGTAAGTGTGAGGGAGGCACATTCTGGCTTCCGTCTCCCTGGCTTGTCCTGAAGCCCCTCAGGGATCCCCACCAGAGCTGTCGGCCTCGCCTTCCTGCCCTTCTAAGTTAATTCTGGGAACATGGCCTCTGCTAGGGGTGGGGGAGCCAATTGGAGGCGCTGCTATTACCAAGCAGGAGCCCCCAAGTCTGGAGCCCAGACATAGCAGAAGAGTGGGTGGAAGAGCATGGCATAGAGGGAGGGAGTAGAAAGCCACTGGGATGTGCAGTGGGCCTTGTCTCAGCACTGAGCCAGGAAGAGGGACAGAAGCAGAAGTCAGGTCTGTAGGTACAGGAGTAGCGGTAATGGGGAAAGTGCAATAGCCAAGGAACTGCACTGGGGGTGTAGTGTTTCCTGAGGGTTGGGGCGGGATCAAGAGCATGGGGTTCAGGATGAGACAGACCTTAGTTTAGATCCCAGCTATACTCCCTTCAAAGTGTGTGAAGTAGTTTAACCTCCTTTAGCTGCAGTTTTCTTACCTGTAAAGTGGAAATAAAACCAGCCCCTAACTCAAAGAGTTGTTACTACAAATAGATGGGATAGTAGAAAGTCTTAGTGCAATGCCTCAATGTATTAATGGTAACTCATATTTATATTTTTAGTTCTGTCTGTGTTAGAGGATGCCCTTCTCGCCTTTTCCTCCCACCATCTCTCCTTTTAGAGTTTCTAAACACAACCCTCTTCACCCATAGGGCCCCAGTCAGGTCCTCCAGATGGGTTTGGTGGGGTTGGAGAGGGGTGTGTGTTGTGTGTGTGTACCTGTTGCTTCTTTAGAAAGTGGACAGAGCTTGTTGGTTCCCCTAACTGACTGCTTGATCCCTTGAACTACTGGCCTAGTGGTGCTGATGGCTGTGGGACCCCCTCCTGGATGTGCCTTTGGCTGTGCTGCCCCTCCCAGCTGGTGCTCCTTGGCTGTGCTGGCCCAGCCGTCCCGTGGTGGTGCTGTTCTAATGCTTGCATTTGTCTTGCAGCCTCTCGCTCCTGTGAGGAAAGGCTTGTGGCCTGGGCCAGCCTGGGGCTCGGGTCAGGGTTAGTCCCGAGCTCAGTCTGAGCCCTCCCTTACCCTGGCGGTACCCCCTGCTAATAGTGGTACTCCCTGTAAGTGAGCTGCCCATGAGAACAGGACCTCACCAGCTGTCCCTTGGCTTGGGATGGGGTGGGGAGAGGGGAGCTAAGGGCACCAACTCTGCCTGCCTGTCAGTTTGAGCTTTGGCTTGGTTTTCCTGAGGAACACATGCCAGCATGAGAGTTGGTATGAAATCTATAGCTTCCCTGAGGCTTGTCCAGGGTAAATGGAGCAGTCTCTGGGGAGAAGCTGTCAAGAGGTTTTATCATTCCAAGATCACTGATCCCAGAACAGCTCTGTGGGATTGATGAGCAACGTGAGGTATTCATTCTAGGGCTCTGTTCATCTTTGGAGCCCTCAACCATACCTGGACTCTGCTCTCAGGCTGGCTGTTGCCCAGGGCTAAGTTCTGAAGCACTGAATGAGGGCCTTGGGTGGGAGACCTGACTGAGCCCCTTCTGGTGAGAGAAGTAAATAGAGGGTGGAAACAGCCATACTGGGACATGCTTCTCAGAGAGGCTGAACCTACTGGGGATGGGATACACAGACTCTTGGTAGAGCCTTCATGATGTTCCAGGCCCCTCACCAGTTAAGGACAAGAGTATTTTCTGCGACCTGGTTTTTGATGGAAAGGGAAGCAAAGGCCAGAGAACCTTAACTAACAGGTGGGCTTCAGTAGGAGGGGGTCATTATCTCTGGAAACACCAGAGAGGGGGATGGAGGGGAAAATGGGCTCACTCTTCCTGCCAAAGGCCTTAAAGACAGAGAAGAGGGATGTGTGTGTCATCACAGGGGACTCCCTGAAGGATTAAGGGAGGTTCTCTGTCTCTTGGGAAGTTCCCCAGCAGGTAAAGTGGTGGATTTTTTTCCCTCCACAGTGCGAAAACAGGAGATCATTAAGATTACAGAACAGCTGATTGAAGCCATCAACAATGGGGACTTTGAGGCCTACACGTGAGTAGAGACCCATTTCCTCATGATGTAAGTCATCTCTCAAGGTCTGCCCTGCTTCCAAAAGTAGTCAGGACCTTGGGGAAAGGGAAAGCTGGCCTTGGGCGCAGTGTCTGAATTAAACCTCAGGCCCCTAGGCCAAGAGCCCTTCCAGGTAGATTCCCTCTGTGACTGAGCTCACTCAAGGTGTCCTGGCAGTGGGTAGAAAAGCCAGGGTTGAGCAGCTAAGGGGCAGGCCCTGAGGATCCTAGCAGCCTGCAACAGCAACCCTGCTGCTACTGCATAGATATCACAGATAAGGAAGGAACATAAGGAACGCAATAGAAGCCTGACAGCTATTTTTCCCCCTCTACAGGAAGATTTGTGATCCAGGCCTCACTTCCTTTGAGCCTGAGGCCCTTGGTAACCTCGTGGAGGGGATGGATTTCCATAAGTTTTACTTTGAGAATCGTGAGTGGGTTCGTGCTGCTGATATACTCCTGCCTGCCCCTCTGCCCCCTCTGCCTCTGTCCCCTGCTTACCTTCTCATCCAGGTTGCCCACTTTTCTCTTATTTGACTTTCCTGCTGCGCCCCTACTCTGCCTGCTTGCCTCCTTGTGCCCTGACAGTCTTAAACGAACACTTTCAAAGGCCCTGCTCCAAAGCCCCAAGTGCCCATTCATTCTGCAGCTGCCTCATGTCAGTGCTAGTGGTCACAGTCAGGGTCACTGTATTTCTTGACGCCTCAGCTCTTTCCAAGACAAACTGGAAACCCTTTAAGATTAGGTTGAGATGAGCTCAGCAAGTAATAAGTTCTATGTCTGCAGGTTTCACGATAGAGGAAATTAAAACCAGGATAAGAATGTGCAAGCAAGTTAACAGGGCACTGTTAGTGATTTGTGACATCAGACATTGTGGCTAGAATCCTTCTGAATGTTTAGGGGGGCAGGCATCCTGGAGGGAGGGTGGGGCATACATTCTGGACAGTTTGTGGAATTCCCAGGAGATAAGCTGAATCACCACCCCCTCCCATCTTTCTTTCTAATAAGATCCTCCCTCTCCTTATTTTTTTTTTCTTTCCCACTTTATCCTGGGCCTTCCCTGTCCTGCCCTGAGTTTTAGTTAGTCACCATTTTCTCTACTGATTTCCATGCTCTCCACATCTCAGCTGCACATACAAAGCCTTAGCCATCTAACTAATTCTCTTAGCCAGACACAATTCCAGAGGTTATATTAGTTCTAGGGTAGGTCTCATGTAGAATCTAACATTTGAATTAAACTAAAAATGCGAATCTCCATAAAAGCAACATAATTTACACAGCATATGCTGATAATGGCAATCCAACTTGTTTCACCTTTCCTCTGAATCCTGGGAGCCCTGGGAATATCCTGAGCTTGATGCTACTTTGCTGCCTTAAAAAAAAATCATATCAACCTTTATGGTTACATTCATAATTTCATTCTGCAGCTCTAATTAGGGATAAACTAATGCTTGTGAAATCTAAACATCCTAGTAGAGTAGAAGAACCACAGGCTTTAGTTAGAGTCACATGGTCCTGAGGTCAAATGAGTTATTTGGGCAAATTACTTAATCTCCTGAGCCTATTTCCTTATCTTATAATGAAGAAAATATTATCGACCAAGAAATACAGCTCTTGCATGTAAAAACCCCAGCACAATGCCTGATTAAAAGAATAGCTGCTATTATCATTGTTACCCACCTTTCTCTTCCTCTTGGATAATGGAGACGAATGTAATGGGGTATCCTAGCCTCTGGAGTGTGAAGGGGGGGTACTTGCAGACTTTGGGAATGGAGAAAGGGTGAGACTTGGAAGTGCAGGCTGGGAGGAAAACGCAGGTACCCAAGCCTGACACCCTCCTGTCTACCCCCCCCGCCCTGCCCCCTACAGTCCTGTCCAAGAACAGCAAGCCCATCCATACTACCATCCTAAACCCACACGTCCACGTGATTGGGGACGACGCAGCTTGCATCGCCTACATCCGCCTCACCCAGTACATCGACGGTCAGGGTCGGCCTCGCACCAGCCAGTCAGAGGAGACTCGGGTCTGGCACCGCCGGGATGGCAAGTGGCTCAATGTCCACTATCACTGTTCAGGGGCCCCTGCTGCACCGCTGCAGTGAGCTCAGCCACAGGTGCACCTGGTTGGGGGGAGAGGGGCTGGGAGGGGCTGGTACAGGTGGGGTCAGAGGAGGAAGAGAAGGCTGGGAGGTGGCCCTGGGAGAGGAGGTACCCGCCATCCCAGAGGAGTGGCGAAGGCTGGGCAGTATGGTTGTAGTAAGTTATGCTCTGAAATTAGACTTGTGTCTGGCACCATAATTCCAAATTAGGTGGCCTCAAAACAGGTTACTTCCCCTCTTTAAGCTCAGTTTTCCATCAAAAGAGCGAAAGAGTGGTACTACTTTATTGAATTGTTGTTAGGCTTAAATGAGGTAAGTAAAGTACTCAGTAAGTGCTCAGCAAATGTAAGACAGTGTTATATTTAACATTAGCTTCACCCCCCACCCCCCCTTCTCTGGCAGACTTGGCCACATGATAGTGTACAGTGTGCTTAAGTCCCTGCAACTAACCTGTGTGCTCATTGTCCTCTGTTCTTTTACCACATTCTGTCCTGTTTGACAGGGGCATTAGGAGATTCCAGCTGGAGGTCGAACCTTCGCAGCCAGTGGCTCTGGAGGGCCTGAGTGACAGCGGCAGTCCTGTTCGTTTGAGGTTTAAAACAATTCAATTACAAAGCGGCAGCAGCCAATGCACGCCCCTGCATGCAGCCCTCCCGCCCGCCCTTCGTGTCTGTCTCTGCTGTACCGAGGTGTTTTTTACATTTAAGAAAAAAAAAAGATTGTTTAAAAAAAAAAATGGAATTCGTACCATGACGCGTTTTAAAACCACCGATAGCCCTTGGGCTGGCAAGAAGGCAGGAATTTATGTGATGCCTATCCTGGCATGAGCAGTGGGCTCACCCACCAGCCCTGAAGAGATGAGCTCGGCCTCTGGCTCCCATGGACTCAGGGGGACCAGGCAAGAACTCTGACAGAGCTTTGGGGTCCGTGATGTGTGACTGTAGCTCCTGAGGTAGCCTGCTTACCCTACGTCTAGGAATCGACTTCTTCAGAACTTGATAGGAGCCTAGGAGGAGGCTGATGAGAACATCATGGCCATCAGATCTACTTGGGAGAGAACACAGAGCTGCAGCCTGCTCTGGAGGTAGCTGAGAAGCAGTGGCCTCAGGACTGAGGGCCAGGACGTTGCTGTACTGTTTTATTGAATGCAGAAGGGAAGAGAATTGGTGCTGCAGAAGTGTGTCCGCTGCGAAGCTGATGAGAAACCTCATGCTAGTCTGACATGCACTCACTCATCTATCTCTATAGGATGCACCATGCACGTGGGCCCTGATATTGAGGCCCGACCCCTGCAGCTAGGAAGGGGAAGGGGTTACTGCTTTGCTTTGTGTTTGTTTTCTTATAACTTAGCCAGGAGAGCACTGGGCCCTAGTCAAGGCCCCCCTTGCCACCTTTGGCACTTGTTTCTGTATGGATCTGAACCATCTTTGTCTTGCCTTTTCATGGTGGTGGTCCCCTTGCTGACCCTCATCTGGGCCTGGGTTCCCCCACCAAGTGCCCCTGTGGGATGGGAGGAGTGAGGCAGTGGGATAAGAGGTGGTGACTGTTTCTATGCATTCAGGCTGCCCTCAGGGCAGCCTCCCTTCTTACTCTTGCTGCACGCACATCTCTTTTCCTGTCTGCTCTGGCAAGAAGAAGAGGTGTCTTCCTTAAAGAGGCCTCTTTACTGACCAACTGAAGTATAGACTTAATGCTGGACAATCTGCATGGGCATCACCCCCCCCCCCATATACACCTGCATGTATCCAAAAGAGGTGTCCAGAGCCAAGGCTTCTACATTCATTGTCCCTCTTTGTGCCCAAGGAGTTCCATTCCAGGAGGGAAAGATCTATGCCCTAAGCAGAAAGCAGAGAAGATAATAGAAGGAGCAATTGGTAATGGCTTTGGTTTCTCCCAGACAACTCTGCAGATTTATCTGCACAAACATCTGCGCTTTGGGGGGAAAGGTGGGTAGACTCCAGCTCCCTGGACTACCTTCCAGAGGCACAAGAGCTAGGAGAAGAGGCAATGCTACAGGTTTACTTTGGAGCAAGCTGAGAAGAGAGCAGACTCACAGGTGCTGGTGCTTGGATTTAGCCAGGCTCCTCCGAGCACCTCATGCATGTCCCAGCCCCTGGGCCCTGGCCCTGGCCCTCTCCTGCCCTGCAGCCTGCAGTGCCAGCACGCAGATCCCTTCACCATAGGGTTTGGTTTTGGCTGGCTTGAAGACAAATGGTCTTAGAGTTCATTGAGACCCATAGCTTCATATGGCTGCTCCAGCCCCACTTCATAGCATTCTTACTCCTCTTCTGGGGCTAATGTCAGCATCTATAGACAATAGACTATTTAAAAAAAAAAAAAATCACCTTTTAAACAGGAAATGGAAGGCATTTGATGCAGAATTTTTGCATGATGACATAGAAATAATTTAAAAATAGTGTTTGTTCTGAATGTTGGTAGACCCTTCATAGCTTTGTTACAATGAAACCTTGAACTGAAGATATTTAATAAAATAACCTTTAAACAGTCCACTGTGTTAATGCTGTTGGAGGCTTCTGGCCAGAGGTTTAGGTTTCAGCAGCCTCAGTTACAAGTCTTCAGATGGAGAGAAGTACCTTCTGCCTACTCCCTTTGGGCCCTTTTTAGACTAAAACTTCCTCATGAACTCACATCATCTTTCAAGCCATCCACCGGGCCGTCAAGGCCAGTTTAGGTGGGGGGAGAGGATGTGGACCCTTCAGAGAAGGGCTGAGGTTTCGCCCCGCCTTCGGGCCCCTCCCGCTCCAAGGCGTCCCCCTCCCTCCCCGGTAGGCTGGCCCGGCTCCCCCTCCGCCGGGCCGAGTGGACGAGTCCGCATCTCTGGCCCGCCCCACCGGGGAGCCGCGGCGCCGACGCTGGGCAGACTGTGCCACCGGGCGGGGAGCGGGGGTGGGCTTCTGCAGGCGGGGCGCGGAGCCCTCCGTATCGGAGGTTGCGGCCGGGTTTAGCACAGAGGGAGATCATTTGGTCTCCTGGCGCTTCGATCGCGCAGCTGTTAGACCTGGAGCCGGTGGTGACCCGGAGGGTGCCAAGAGCGGCAGCGCGCCGTCTCCCCCCGGTGGGAGCGGCGGTTGGGCCCGGCTGCGGCAGAGCGTTCGCTCGGAGATGGCGGAGCAGCCGCGACGCGGCCCGAGGCCCCGAGAGCTGGGAAGCCGGGCAGCCCCGGGACGCGGCGGAGCCCGGGGACAGCGCGGACGCCGCCCAGTCCGCCGGGTGAGCCGCCCTTGAGGAGAAACCCCCCTCTACCGCTCAGAGAGTGGCTCTCACCTGCGTTCGCCCGCAGTTCCTCCCCTCACTGACTTCCCTTGAGTGTTGCCACCATAACCTCCCGCAGGGTGTCCCGGGAGGCCCGTCAGTGCGCCCCAGCCACCCCTCGCCTTGTCCCTTCCTCTAGCCTCCCTTCTAGTTTCCTCATTCCCCTCTGTTCGTCCCCTCAGTACGGCACTCCCTTCTGCCCTCGGAGCTCTTCCAGCCCGGTACCTGTCTCGATGTCATCCCAGAGTGGTCGCAGCGCGCCCTTTGCCCATTCCCCTTTAATGTCTCACGTCGATGCTCTCCCCATATCCACCTGTGACCCGGCATTCCCACTCAACGGGGTCCCTCTGTCTGCGAGCCCGGCCCCACTCGATCTCCCTCCTTCCGCAGCATCGCCTCGCAGCGCTGGGCCCGCACCGCAGCCTGCCTGGTCCCCAGCACTATTGCTCTCCCTGGCTCAGGTGGCCTCAGTTTCTCCCTCCTCAGAAACCTTCCACTGCATAGACTTACCTCCCTCACCCCCCGCTACACACACACCCTGTTGCTGCTTCAGTGTTTCTCATCCCACTTCTTCCGTAAATGTTGCTGCTGCTTGCAGGTATGAAGCTAAAATGCAGGGGTTAAGAACACCCGCTCTGGAGATTGACAGGCCTGACTTTGAATCCCAGCCCCTCCACTGACTGAGCTGTGTGATTCTGGGCAAGTCACTAAGTTTCGCTGGGCCTCAAATTATTGGTATGTAAAATAGGGATAATAATACTATGTATCCCTTACTTACCTCCTGTGGCTGTGTGTGGGTTAAGTATATGTAAAACTCTGAGAAGAAATGTCTGACAAGTTGTAATACTATGTATTGAGTATCAACTTCCCCTTAGTGACTTCTCACTAGTATGCTTTCCCTAAAGTTATCTCTAATTTTTAGGATTCACCTCTTTGCATCACCAGTTTGATCCTGTCTCCCAGCTCTCTTTTCATGTCTATCAGTTTTACCCAGGCCAAAACCAAACTGTTCCTTTCTTTTTTCTTTTTTCAGAGATGGGGTTTTACCCTGTTGCCCAGGCTGGAGTACGGGGGGTCGATCATAGCTCACTGAAGGCTTAGATCTCTTGGCCTCAAGTGATCCTCCTGCCTTCCATGTAGCTAGGACTACAGGTGTATACTCTGCCTGGTTAATTTTTTGTTTTTTACTTATTTCTTGTAAAGACAGGATCTCTGTTGCCAGGCTAGTCTCAAGTGTTTCTCCCTTCTTAGCCTACCAAAGTACTAGTATTATAGGCATGGTGGGAACAATTCTTTTTTTTTTAAGACAAAGTCTCAAGCTCTTGCCCTGGGACACACAGCTGCTGTGGCATCACAGCTCACAGCAACCACAAACTCTTGGGCTCAAGTGATTCTCTTGCCTCAGCGTCCCAAGTAGCTGGGACTACAGGTGCCTGCCACAATGCCCAGCTGTTTTTTGGCTGCCGTTGTCATTGTTGTTTTAGCTGGCCCAGGCTGGATTCGAACCCCCCTGGCCTCCGTGTATGTGGCCAGCACCCTACTCACTGAGCTACAGGCCCCGCCCCTTTGCACAGTTCTTAAATCATCTCTGTCACCTCTGAAGGACCCTGTCTCTACCTAATCACCCCTGAGATGTGTGTATATAGGGGTGAGTAGTAGAGAGGGATTGCCAGCCACTGGTTTTACTTGGAGCAGCTGATGTAGAGAGAGTGACAATAAACTTACAGAAGAGGTCTATTTAAGAAAAAGAACAAAAGAAATCTCCCAAATTAGGTCTCCTTAAAATCATATTTTCTGATCACTGTCCTTACTCTTTCTCTTTCTGTAATTGATTAGATATGACTTAAGCTCCAGTTACTACTCTGTGTCATCCAGCCTCTCTCAGGTTGTTCTGTTTTTGGAACTGGACTTAACTCCTTCATGTTTATCTAGGCTAGCTCAGTGACCATTCTGAGTTGTTCAGGAATACAGCTGTAGGACCACGTTGGCTCAATTAAGAAGATTTAAAGTAGGCAGGAAGAGAAACTCTGGGCTCAGCCTGCTGGCCTTTCTTAGGTCCCTGTAACGTGATTTGCTCTGGGGTTACATTTTTATTTCCTCTCCTGACTTTAGCATATGTGAAATAAAGGACAGGGTGGGCAATTTATTTATTTATTTATTTTTTAGAGACAGAGTCTCACTTTATCGCTCTTGGTAGAGTGCCGTGGCGTCACAACTTACAGCAACCTCCAGCTCTTGGGCTTAGGTGATTCTCTTGCCTCAGCCTCCTGAGTAGCTGGGACTACAGGCACCCACCACAACGCCCAGCTATTGGGGTGGGTAATTTTTATTGAAAAAATAAATGTTTTTTGAAACAAAGGCTCAAGCTGTCACCCTGGGTAGAGTGCCATGGCATCATCATAGCTCACAGTAACCTCCAACTCATGGATTCAAGCAATCCTCTTGCCTCAGTTTTTGTATTTTTAGTAGAGTCGGGGTCTCAGTCTTATCTTACTCAGGCTGGTCTCGAACTCGTGAGCTCAAGCAATCCACCCAACCTCAGCTAATTTTTTTTTTTTTTGAGACAAAGTCTCACTCTATCACCCTGGGTAGAGTGCTATGACATTATAGTTCATAGCAGCCTCAAACTTGGGCCAAAGTGATCCTCTTGCCTCACCCTCCTAAGTAGCTGGAACTATAGGCGCTTACCACAACACTCGGCTAGTTTTTCTATTTTTAGTAGAGATGGTGTCTTTCCCTTACTCAGGCTGATCTAGAACTCCTGAACTCAAACAGTCTACCCACTTTGGCCTCCCAGAATGCTAGGATTACAGGTATGAGCTGCAGTGCCCAGCTAGGGGTGGGGAAGGAAGATCTTTAGGTTCTGGGTTTGAAAGCTAAGAGAATGATTAGCTATCGCAATCTCTATTTCCTCTTGAATTCCTCTGCCATGGTGTCCACCTGACTGCAAGTTCGTTAGTGTTGTTGGCTATGATGTTGAGTTTGATTGATGAGGAAGATTAGTAGACTCATGAGTTTCCTCTTATCTGATACTTCGGTGGATCATGGGACTTCTGGGGCTTTATGTCCGTACTTCACAGAAAAACCAGAGCTCTTGAGGGTGGGCCAACTGCTCAGTCACGAACTAGTAGAAAGGGTCTATTTTCAGCCTCCTGGGCTGTTTGGCTTCTTGTTATTGGGAGATTTGCTCCCTTCTAGCATTTGAATATACTGCTCCAACTCTGAACTCTGTCAGAGCGTTAGAGAGAAGTATTTGGACATTCATTTGGGTATGGTTTGTTTTTTTTTTTGTTATTTTGTTATTATTTTTTTTTTAAGATAAGGTCTTGCTCTGTCACCCTGACTAATGTGCAGTGGCATCATCATAGCTCACTGCAAGCTCCTCCCTCAGCCTCCAAGTAGCTGGGACTACAGATGCTGGCCACAACGCCTAGCCAAATTTTCTATTTTTGTAGAGATGGGGTCTTTCTCTTACTCAGGCTAGTCTCAAACTCCTGAGCTCAAGTGATTCTCCCACCTCGGCCTACCGGAATGCTAGGATTACAGGTGTGAGCCATTGCACCCAGCCTCATTTGGGTATTCTAAGAAGGAAAACAAGCTATGAAGCTAAGCTATAGGACTCAGCTTGTGTTCTTATTCTACAAGAGCTTTTTTGGGAGAACAAATCATCCAGTCAGCAAGAGGTAAGAGAGATGAGGAAAGAAAGAGAAATGGATTAATGACAGTAGTTTCAAGGGGAGAAATAACCCATTGATGTCTCTGTCTTACAGACAGTGGGAGCAGAGATTGTGAACTTTGCTGACGTCTAATGTGAGGAGTTCAGTCAGGACCAAGGGTGGAATCTGGCAAGATTTGCAGCCTGGAGCCATGGGCCAGGGGGCCATGGTGACCTGAGCCTAGGGGGCTCTGTCCAGCTGCCCCTTACTTCCCCTTTTACCTCTCCTACCCTGTACTAAGGGACTTGTCTCCACTTCCTCAGGGAACTGCTCCTGGGGTAACCCCCTTCCCCTATTTTCCTATCCTCTACCCTCCCACGACAGTACCAGTCTATAGAACTCCTACCTCTCTTCCCCTGAGGCGGTCCCCATCCTTCCCTTCCTTCCTTACCCCGCCATGCTCCAGCTGTGGAAGGTGGTACGCCCAGCTCGGCAGCTGGAACTGCACCGCCTCATATTGCTGCTGATTGCCTTCAGTCTAGGCTCCATGGGCTTCCTGGCTTACTACGTGTCCACCAG